CTTCGTTTCTATAAAATTCCTCTTTACATCTTGCCTCGTTTCAAAATCATTTTACGACTGACGGTTTGCCAGTCACTTTCTCTTAATGTAGAGCCCATTCAGACGCTCATGACCAGATCTTAGTCTTTAAGTAAGCTTCACTGTTTGCCCTTTAATCTTTAACGTCCGAGGTGATCCGTTCGGGCCATTGATGAGTAAGGGAATCGCGCGCACACGCCGCTAGTAGAAGCGCATGCACGGTCCTAAATATTTATTTTTAAATGTAGTAATTACCAAACCGACTTGTGTGAAACCCTAATCGAGGAATTAAAATGATACCTAAGTGAACAACAACAAAAAGAGTATACGTATGAGTTATGCCCAAACTCATCCACGAGCCTGTACTTTTATTGCAGATTCTGCAGATTAATGTGTTAAAAATATATAGTAAAATTCTATGTACATACCTTTTTTGTTATCTGCTTGATGTATATATAGGCTGAAATGAAACTACAGTATTCGATTTCACTACGAACGCACAGAAAACAGATCCCTCTCTGTATCTCAGCCACGATGTAGCTGTGTGCTCACGCCCATAGAAAGGGCAATAATCTCTTGCAGCTATAACCGAAGGTCTTAGCACTGAAGAAGGGACCCCTCTAGTCATATCTTAAATAGCCATGCTTTCATTCTTCAGTCATTTAGTCAAAAGATTCGAAAATCTGAAGAGTGTAACAAAGATGTAAGGTTTTCCAGCAGAAAACCAAATGATTTTATTGCCTCCATCTGTTTTATGGCACCAGGGACTTGTAAAATTTGTCAAGTGTTACAAACAGAAACGAATTTATGATGCAGAATAACTCTGTGAAGAATTGGGACACCAATTTTTCTGCACGCATCAAAATAAAAAAAAAATTGAAAAACAGAGTATAAATTCTTGTACAAAAATTTTCAAATCTTTCATTGTAATATGCGACACTATGTTCTTTGCTGATACAAACAAAGTTAATTCCATCCATTTATCATAAAAATTCTGTTAGTCACAGCATTTTTAAACACAATGGTTAAAATTGTTCAAGCGCCCTACCAGGAACGTGCATTTAAATGCGCACCAGCAGCGGGCATTTAAATAAACTCCGGCCAGCTCAAGCTTACCACCATTTCAAAAGTCCGGCGTTTAAAGGTTAAAATTGCTGATGCTGTTGCGGAGTGTTGTGACATTTGACAAGCTGTGTGATTCTAAAAGCATTACAGTGAGCAGTGAGCGATAGGATGGGATGGTATGGTTTGCATTGAACTGGCTCAGGATATGGACCAGTATATGGCTGTTGTGAACACGGTAATGAACCTTCGGGTTCCATAAAATGCTAGAAAGTTCTTGAGTATCTGCACAATTGGCGGCTCCTCAAGAAGGGTTCAATTCCATGAGCTATGTTTCTAAAAGCCTGTTATGAGAAGAATCCGTTCTGTCCTGAAGTACACCAAAGTTCCCTGGGAAGGAGCAATCAGGGGAAAAAGTCGGACATTTTCCGTAAAGTAGGGGCGACCCTTAACGTGTAAGTTAGTTTCACGGAAGCGCTGTGTAAGAGAGTCCCGAGATGCATTAACAACGGCTATCCAGCATAGACGCGTCCCATGCAGACATGCAGTGAAAGTAGATACCACCGAAATGATTATCTGCCACTACTGGGGTCTAATAATCACGAAATAAGGCAGATGGTATACATCCCACCCTACTGGGGAGTGCACCTCGTTTCATATCCATGACGGGGTTCCTTCTGATTCCATACACTTCAATAATTATCTTACGGAACTGCTTATGCTATTTTGCAAACGCTTGTCTTGATGATGCGTTTAAATATAGCTCATGCAGACCAATAGGATGTGCGTAACTTCCAACTAGACTATAAGATTATTTGGAACGACAGACAACATTTTATGTGTATTAGAAGTACAAGCAAAAATAAGCGCTAAAATACAGATTAAAAAAAAAAAGGATTTTCATACTTTTCCACTGGTATGAATACGCCACTCCATCCCTTTTCGTGAGTTCAGTATTTACAGTATTTACATATAAAATTTCTTCTTCCCCATATTGCCTAGTGTAAGGTGTTTGTATTATCGTGTTTTGTTTCCTTTTGGTGTTACAGATCGCGATGAAAGAACAACATCCATGATATCTGATTTCAATAACATCGCGACAGTTTTCTACCCAAACTACGCTTACGAATATAATTCTCTATTATTATCATCATGGTTTTGAAAATGAGCTTTATGTGAAAATATTCTAAGGTTTTGTAAATTCATTCTATCTTTTATAATTTTCTCTTACTGACGATTACGTTCGATTTCATATAGATGGCCTGGTATATGAGACGATAAGGCCCTGTAGAGACTGAAATTCTCATGACGATGACGCTGAATAGTGTGGTAGACGGGTACAAATGTTCTTTCTGCGCTGCATATGAAGGCATTAAGTTCTTCCGAAACGTTGTTTCTATTTACTGAAATACAAAGGATTCGATCCTATATGTTCACAATCCTAACCCTATAGATTTTAATCCATAATGTGAGTACGTGTATAATGTATACAAAATCCACGTGGCTTTGGATCAGTCCTTATCTTCGTACATATTTTAGAATTACACTATTCGCCAGCAGAAAATATAACAATATATTTGAGGAAAAGATGATCAATTTATCTATTTTAATAAGTATAATGAGACGTGGACGTAACGCCATAGCTCGTTATTAATTACCTCTTACGTTTAAAAAAAGCATATTAGCCAATAGGAATGCTGTTGCGTCACACTTTGGCACGAATTTATTTTTGTCGCGCGCTGTGACATTTTAGGAACTGTTAGTGTACGGATGATATAAAGGATATTTGTGTTCCTCTGCCTAAAACAGAATTTCATCCTTACGCAGTGCACACTTTTGTTAGTTACGTGTATACCGGAGCAGACTTACCATAAGCAACATCCTCCTCGTATCCCCCATGGTGACACAGAACTGCGACTGCAGAGAAAGTCCGTGGAGCAGTCCCTTGAGTCACAGGTTGCGCAATTATAGGTTATGAAAGTCCTTTGGCTCCGGTATTGCTCAATGTACGAGTAATTATGTTTCTACCCATGGGGAGGAGCTTGGCTGCTTTATCCAAGTTGACTTAAGAATGACGATACAAGGATAGATGCAGCGCGCGCTGCAAGAAACTAACGACCTCAAAAATTCTATTGACGCTTGACAAGTGTTCCATCAGTGCTTACTTCTCGTTTCATGTTTAATAATGATATTATAAGACCAGTCCACGTATATCCGCCGGCACGTGCGCACTAGATTGGCGAAGTGCACACCACAAATAAACAAACGAGATAGCAAACAAACTTGTTTGTAAATGTGTTTAGAAAACATGCATAAATAATTATCCTCATTAATGAATATAAAATATTCCAGAAACTCTCCTTCTCTCCATTAATCTGAGGAAATAATAATGTTACGCAGTAGCGTAGTTAGTTGAGGCACTATGCCGCAAGCCGGAAGGTCGTGGGTTCGAGTCCGGATGCGGTGGATTTTTTTTTCAATTGATCTAATTCTTCCAACCGCACTATGACCCTGGAGTCGACTCAGCCGCCAACAGAAATGAGTATCAGGAATCTTATTAGGGGTAAAGGGCGGCCGGCGCGTAAGGCTGACAACCTCACCGCCATCTGTGAGCCGATTATCTAGAAAGTGTGGGAGCCTCGACGTCTCACAACCCTACGGGCCTCCATGGTTTGTTACAGGGATAGCTTTACCTTTCTTTATTTAGTTCGGTTTAAATTATTACATTTTAGTTTGCATTATGAATGTCATCTTCCCGCGAAATCCGGTCGTCTTGAAATCGGTTAATTTGAACGAACGGATAATCGCTGAGAAACTAATAGGCCTACGCGCGTATTTCTCGATGGCGGCACTATTTGATGGAACATTGACTGGATGTGCACAATAAAACGGTACTTTTTGTACAGTTTGTAAAATAATTTAATTCATTATACTCGTGCGTTTAGTAGGACGAAGGAGCAAAATGGTACTCAGCATAGACGCACACACACCTCAAACAATCAGTGGAGTACAGTATAACAAAAACTGTAAATGAAATATCGAGGAATGATATAGCAATTCACATTTCAGAAACCGTGCAGATTAGTGTAGCTGTAACAATTTAGACTTGTATTCGGGGTCTTCAGTTCGAATAACGGTCAGGACACCGCCTACCCTAACTGAGATTTTCCTGTTTTTTGTCAGTCCCTCGAGGCAAATGCCGGTGTATAAGCTCGATTAAACCACATCCGATGCCTTCCAAATCCTGTCCAATTCCAATTTCACCAATCATCCGATGCTGCATAGTCTAGATACTGCGAATGTAAAATACACCACAAACAACAAATTTAAGAAAATTTGTGACCAAATGCGCAGATATTCCTAGCATCAAAGATTTCAGTTGCTATTGAAGCCACGTAAAATTTAGATATACGACTTTCGTATTATCTGTGAGTCAACATTTAGGTTAATACATATTTATGTTTAAATTGGATATAATAAATACATAAATTCTTTAAGCATTGGGCAGATCCATACCAAACGTTGCTATCAAGTTGATTGCATAAAATCAAGAATTTCTCTTCGTTAAACTGAAGAACATTTTAAATTATAATATGTTCATTAGCAATCCTATAATCGCCTTGATAACTCAGTTACAACCCTGTGTTCTGGTTTTAAGCAGTAACAGGTGTTGTAGTGATATTTTCCTTTATTTTGATTGATGTCAAAATTTTACATATCCTGTTATAAAGTTGTTGGTTATAACCAGAGCTGGCGGACCACTGGGTATTTTCAGAAAAGTTTCATTAGAATCATTCTAGAACCTACGACTGCCATCAGATGCAAATTTCTTTTGAAATTAATATTGTATGCTATATAGTTACCTTTGAATTTATTATTTTACTACAAATTACATTTTTATGTCACGTTGATACATAGGTCACCTAAAATAGCTTTATCAGCTACAGAGATTAGATAGCATCGAAAGAGACGAAGCAATGGCTACAAATTTTAAGTTGGCATCGTTTTGAAAAAGAGAGGTCATTGTGTCACTGAAGGCAGTAGCCTAGAATTTTCCACAAGGAATGAAAAGTAATTTTATTCTGGATTTTACTTCGGAATAAGTGGATAAGGAAGGGTTAAATTACAGTAAAAAAATAGTAGGGTCATACTGTAAAAATGTCAAGTGAAGCATTACGCATGATAATGTAAAATCTGTATTTTATGTCTAAAAACAAAGAGATAATACTGCAAAGTTGAGTGCTGAATTCGTTGAAAGACAACGCACACTTATACCTCCAAATGCTACCCGATATTCCTACTGCGCATTATATTCTCTGGCGTTCATTTCTGCTAGATACGTTAAGAAAACTTGGATTTCCAGAAGTGTTTAACGTATCAGTGATTGTTCGCTGTATTAGAAACTGTCCAATACATTTTTTTACAGTTGATGCTTAGTTTTCTTTCTTACATTTCATATTTCAAATTCGAATACATATCATGCCATGTAGTTTTGTGAATAACGAATATTGCTTTCACTGAATTCCTATTTTCTCTCCGAAAATTTTTAGCAACGAGAAGAAAAGGAACGTGCTTCTCTGTTTTCGAAGGCCATTTAATGGAAATGATCCGAAAATGTTAATTTAGGCTTCCATTTGACTATAATTTGTTAATATGTCACCAAAATTCATTTAGAAGACCACCCCTAAAGTAGGCCACCCACCGACACAACCTCAGGCTGGTGATATAAAGAACGGCTACTGAATGAAAACTAATCCTTAATACAAAAATTCTTGTGTCAGTTATGTTTCTGATGTAAGCGATCTTTTAAACGAGTTCGGTGGGAATAAATTCCTAAACCTGATGTCACCTCTGTAATTCGGCAATTAGCGGTTATGGTGACTGGTCAGACTAGCTCAAATGTAACGGACCTGACTTGTGTTGGGAGATCCAATATTCGACTCTGGGTCGAATACTGACTGTCTCTTCCCCACAGCACAAAATCATGTACGTCTGTAGCTTCATTCTACGCTAAACATTTTTTGCCGTCAACATGGCGTTGTTAAATAAGTTACAAACCAGCCATAGAAAGGTTTCAGAAGAGCCCACTGATTATAATATTTGATATAATATGTTCGTAAGTATTTAAAACTTTACAAAAATATATTGTATGTGTTACATATCGTTGTATATTTCAACTGGAGCTTCGCGATGATGTCTGCTGGTACAGATCACTGTCCGTCACGGCGTCACAGCCCGCAGCTCAACAAGCTGTTCCCGGGTGTATCCTTTGCCTAACATCTCGACCAGGTGCATGCCTCTGTAGCCGAACGAGTTCTGGTAGTTACTCCTGAAACTGATTGCGGCATCCGGGTCAAAGGGCACGTTGTGGATGGCCCGCGTCGCCTCTGGAGCTACCAGCAAGTCCCAGAAGTTGCGTAGCACCTCTATGACTCCCAGCGGAGCACAGGCAACCCCTTTGAACAGCAACAGCAATGCCACTACCTGAGAAAACCACCACGATCTCATCGTTTAAGAATAAAGACGCCAGATCAAGCAGATCAGTGATTTTAAGATCGCCTCTCATCTTCGGTTTTCATGCATTGCCTGCCTTTGTGTTCGCATGAAACAATTCCAGTCTGTCTGAGATTTTAGGTTTCCACGGTACTGAATATTTGGATTGTGCTTTCTTGAGTTATAACATAACATAGTACTAGCGAGTTGTTTCCAGCGTTTCGGAAGTACCCGCTACCTTTACATTTAAGACAGATACAGGTAACAGGTTTCTCAGAAATACTGGTAATCTACAAAACTACAAGATGTTATAACCCGGAGGACTACAGTCTAGGACCCCATTCTAGATGAACAGATATTAATTAAATCTGATATTTAAGATGCTTCTTAAAATACACCTTGAAAATGAACGAAAAGAAAATAAAATTTGAAACGTAACAAACGAAAATCCTCAAACTATTTGTTGATCTTGCATTCAGTTACCACGTGAGCAATTAAATTTTAAGAAACAAGAGTTACTGGAACATCGGGAGATACTGAGAAATGTGGTTAAACTGAAGAGCACATATCAGAGTTCTGTTAAAATTGCATATCATCTTTTCAGTTGTCTTCCTAAGTACATATTTCCTAAGGCATATGTGCTAATAACTCTTCTGATTGTTTATGAAATTTGAAGAAAATTATACAATTAGCAGCATAGCACGTGTGAAGATCTGCGAACATGTTTATGAACATACACAAAATTATGTCATTCGATAACTTGTAAGGTGCTTAACTGTGCTTTAGTATCTGCCACCCGTAAGGGAAGTTGAGAAACAATAACATATGATAACTCACCACTCGTGCAGTCCTCATCCTTGCATTTCTCTCAGTAAAACGAACTCAGTGCAGTACGAGCGTGTTGTTCCTAGCGAAGAACCAACAGAAATAAATCGCTACTCACTGCGCATACGTAGCCTTATGGAACTCATTAACAGTCAGGAATGATAACCGTTTCGTACAGAATGGGTGGGCCGGTGGTGCAATTAGAAATTCGCTTCTGTTCATAACAAAATAAGTGAGACGTTGGCTTTCTTTCCCGCGGGTGACGAATAGATTGGACAGCCCAATGTTTCTAAATAAAGATTTTGACAGTAATCTGACATTCTGATAGTCGTGTTGTAACCTCTGTTAGGAATGCATAAGGTAACGGAAACCGTGAAATTCGCCTCTGGTGACGTACTGTTTCTATTGTCTGGTCTACTCAGTATTCTACTTCGACAGGAGAAAGCAATCGATTTATATTCTTCTTGCATTCGTGTATTGTTAATCAGATACATTACTGAGTTGTAGACGACAATTTATTTAATATTGTTCTTACTTATGACTTTCACCACGCTACAGATAGATGGTTTGTACTAATTCAATTTTATCGAAAACTTATAGACTCCATAATTAAAAAAAAATCATGTATTATTGTTATTAATTTAATTTAGCTTCAATTTTCAGGGAGAAAAAAAATGTTATGATTTACTCGAACGTCACTATTTGTTGAAGTGTTTTGGTAAATATTAGACCAAAAAGTTGATACTTCATTAGCTATCGTTAATATCCTGACAGGCTAGGTATTAAACCCTCAAACTCCCTGTTTTATATGCACCACCTGCTTCAACACACCGAAACTCTGTATTCTGCCCACAGAATCCAGTTATGTTTTGTATGGCTCTCGCAATGAACATAGTCCCCCCACCCCCCCAGAAAAACAACATTGACCGGTTGATATTTGTAGCGGAGAAGTGATATTTCCCGTGAAGTACAAATCAGAGTTGTATATATTATTTAGAAGAAAATCAATTTTTGGACGGTTAAAGCTGTAGGAATGACTTTCGTTTTGTACGAGTATGATGGTCACTATTTCTAACACATTTCAACGCTTAAATAAGTAAATAACAAAATGTTTGTCGTCGAAAGTAACGGCTGCGCAGTCTATTATGTGTAAAGTACACGAGTAGTAAGTCTTTCCTGTAAAGTCAGAGTTCTAACTAATCGATTATTTTACAACATATTTTTTATTTGATCTACATAAAATTCCTTATTCATATTTCTTTATGAGAAAAGGATCAGATGCAGGCTCAGATCATGTAACTAACTTCCGGCCCCCCTCCATTTTCAAGTTGTTTATGTATTGTTACTTCAAAATAAAATTGGCAGGAACATTAATAATATTACAGAATGAGGAGTTTCATAATTTCTGTTTTCGCCGTATGTTATTTGGATGATGAAATCGGGCTACATGGGAAGTTAAGAAATGTTTACAAGGCTCTGAAATGAAAACAACAGAAAGGAGACCATTAGGGACACCTAGGTACAGATGTAAGAATAAATACTAAATCAGATCTTATGGAAAACGGTATGATGATATGAAATGGGTTTAACTGGCTCAGGATACGACACAATGGTGATTTTATTTTTGACCAACAGAGCAACTTAATTTTTCAAGAAATTCCGTGTACTATAAAAGATTTCTCTTCTTCTTCTTCTCTTTCGTCTTCACTTTTGGAGTCTTATGTCCCCTGGACTATTCTGTTTCAGAACTAAATTTTAAAACTATTAATCCTATAGACATAGTCCGACAACCGTAAAATGTCAATTAGCGCAAATAAACACACGAATAAAGAGTGAGGGAAGGAATGAAGCAAAGAATCCGAAATTGGTCCTCAGGATGTCTTATTCAGCTGAACATAGAAAACAGCGTTTAAGTCAAACATGTGAGTCCAGCTGTTTCGAAACTAGAACAAAATATATGTTGTTGTTTTTTTTTTGAATCCATATTTTCTCGACCTTGGCACTAGCTGGAGGTGAGTGGTCAGCTTCACGCCCTGACCGCTTTACTCCCAGGAAAACATCCCCTGGTACCCATTGAATAGGCGGTTGAATGGACCCCAGAGCTAGTCTGGAAGACGTGGAGGAAAGAAAATTCTTGACTCTACCAGGACTCGAACTCCAATCCCTCTGCCGTCCAGCCAGTAGCTGGTCGCTAAACCGACTACGCTACCCCAGATCCTTGTGGTGCTCAATTAATTAAGCACAGGAATGATTTTACCTTTCATCTGTACCTGCTGACCACTACACCTGCTTCGGCAGGATGTATTCATTTACCGCTCACCAGAACCAGTATGGTCAGTAATTTGAGGTCCATCCAGCCTCCTATCGCATGGGAACTGGGAGTTCTTTCCCCGGGAGTGAAGTGGCTGTAGCGTGAAGCTAACCGCATCATCTAGCGCCGAGGCGAAGAATGGTGGAGCTTTACCACCACTCTCCCATATGTCCTCATGGCGTACTGCTTAATTAAGCACAGGAATTACTTTGCCTTTTATCTTTCATTCTTTCGGCCAGTAGACGGCAGACAGCGTCCTTGATTTGAAGCAGAAAGTCCAAGGTTGCCAAAGGTATGCATATTTCTTTGTTAGGTTGGCTATGGCTATGTACGTGACGTATATAACAAACTTGTCTAATGTAGCAACGTACAGGACAGCGTGACTTCTGCAGTAAGGGTGTCTTTCTTGCCGGTAAAAAATGTCAGCAAAGGTTACTAATTACTATCATATGTAAATGAAAATGGTTTAAAAAGAGTTCTAAAATACATAAACACTACAAAGGATGCAGGTATTGTATATTCCCAGAACGATGATCAATTGGAAGGTTTTNAATAGACCCCTTTTTGCCTCTTTGTTAGATGCGATTGAGGAACATGAAGGTTTCTAACTTGTCTTGTTGATTTACCATGAATTGTATGATTAAAAGTATAATGCCCCAGATTGTTTACCATTAGTATCATTAAAGATAAAATATATTGAGAAGCCAATGTCAAAATTTTTAATTTTTTAAAAACTGTTCTACATGATTCTCTGGGTTTCATTCCCAACATTATCCTGATGGCCCTTTTTTGTAAAAGAAAAATCTTCTTAGCCTCCCACGAGTTTCCCCAAAATACTATCCCATATCTCATAATTGAATGAAAGTATGCATGGTAAATCATCTTTAGTGTTTCAATATTGCTATACAATTTCATGTTTCTTATTGCAAAGCATGCCTTGCCCAATCTGGACAGCATCGATTCAATCTGTGACTTCCAATTCAGGGTCTTATCAATTTCAATGCCCAAGAATTTAACGTGGGTTTCCTCATGCAATATCTCATCATTAAACTTTAAATGTATAGACATATTATCTCGATTAGTTGTATCAAATTTTACCACTTTAGTTTTCTTCAGATTTAGAGACAGGCCATTAACTGCAAACCAACGGCTTAAAGAATTCAACACTAAGTTAGACCTTACTTGGATTTCATCAATATCAATACCAGACACTACTATGCTTGTATCGTACAGGACAGCGTGCGACTTCTGCAGTAAGGGTCTCTTTCTTGCCGGTAAAAAATGTCAGCAAAAGTTACTAATTACTATCATATGTAAATGAAAATGGTTTAATTGCTGAAGAACAATAATATGCGCATATGTGCACAGTACCATGACGTATTCTAGTTGCGCATGCGCATAGTTTGCGTAACTGTCACTGCAGTAAACACGTGGATAACAAGGAAGTAGTTTGAAGCGTTTTGTGAGGTTTTCAGTGTGGTAGCGTGTCAAGAACGTCAAGAATAGTAGATGTTGGGGCTCGTGTGCGATTTGATTGTAGGCTGCCTGCCCCACTGTCAAATATATATATATGGCCATGAGGTTACTTACTGAAACGTGTGTTAGTGCGATGTTTAATATACAAGTTAACCAGATTTATGGTTACTTACACCGAATGTAACCTGTCCACATACGGAACAAGAATCCCTCTTCGCAGTTCTGTTGCTGGGGCCAGCCACGCAAATTGATAAGGGTGGAGCAAGATATATGGATTTTATGTATCAGTGTACCAGGTACTTACAGTTGCCATACATGCCAATGTCATTGAGACGTCTCTTGGCCTTCATGACCAAAGTCACAAAATTAGCAAATATCAGGCAAGAAATCCACGTTTATTGTGTCCGCATAGATCTGCCCCCATATCTGTGATTCAAACTG